CCTATAGCAGAGGAAACTAGTTTGTGGCACTCACGTGGCACCTTATGATTGGTTTAGTGATGTCTGTTTTAGACCGTTGAGTCTTGAGAAGCCCTTGCAGTCTTATCCCAAACTCTCAAGAACACAGAGATTTTTTTTTTTTGTTTCTTGGTGGTCTCTCTCTAATGGCGACTCTGTCTCATTTTTCTTCTCTTTCTACCATCTCTTCTTCACTACCACTTTCTCCTAGAAGATTCTCTCCACGATCTTTTCCTCAATTCACAGTCAAATCAGAAACAGAGAAAGAGAAACAGAGCACACAAGCTAAATCCGAAGGAGAAGCATCATCAGCTTCAACCAAAAAAACTCCTAAAACTCTTCCCAAGAAACCAGTTTACTCGAGTCTGTTACTTCACTTCAGTTTCAATTGTCGAATCCAATAATTTAAAAAACAGATTTCTGATAATCCTTTTTGAATTTTTGTTTGTTTGTGGTGGATGTGAAAAAAAACAGTGAAGAAGGGTCAAATCGTTCGTGTGGATAAGGAGAAGTATCTCAATAGTATCAATGTATGGTCTAAAATCTTTGAAGCTTTTGAAAATCTTGTTTCTGAATCTTTTTTTCTTTTGTTTTGTTGAGATCATCAACAGTACTTATCAGTTGGACATCCTCCTTTCTACAAAGGACTTGATTACATATACGAAGATCGCGGCGAGGTCCTAGACATTCGTGTCTTTGAGACAGGAGAGTATGCACTTGTAAGTTTCCACACATTGTTTATTATATAAGCCATTTTGGGAGAGATATGTAGTGAAATTTTGGATGGATTTTTAGGTTGGTTGGGTTGGTATCCCGACCGCACCGGCTTGGCTACCAACAGATATGCTCATCAAGGTACTTCAGTATTTCTTTCTCTGTACATCAACAATAAGTAACTTTGTCTTCAATGCCAAGTCTTGATTGTTTTCAATGTTCTTGGTTTTCGCATTGCAGTCGGAGAAACTTGTTTACGAGCGACTATAGAGACCACAATGATCTTGTCTTCAAAAGTTTGACAATGAAGAATCGATGTTTACCAATGGTTACAAAAATGTTGTGGAATGTAGAGAATGTGAATCAGATTGAATCCTATAAGAATGCAACTTCATTAGATGAATACCTAAACAAATTCACACTC